GAGTGCCAGGATAGGCTCCCAAGCTACACAGAGAAACCCTGTCTTGAAAAAAAAAGAAAGAAAGAAAGAAAGAAAGAAAGAAAGAAAGAAAGAAAGAAAGAAAGAAAGAAACCTGTGAGTAAAAGGAGACTTGACGCCATCTGTTTCAAGTCCTTGGTCTTAAGGACAGGCCAGGAGGCCAGGAGAGAGTGGGCATGTTTACAGAGGTGTGGCTAATCTAGGAACAGATTGTAAGTCTGCTCCTTTCCCACTCCTCCCACCTCAACAGAACTAAACATCCATGAACTGGAGAGTCAGAGCCTGCACAGAAACCTGATTATAGTCTGATAAACAGAGATCAAAGCATGTAGCAGTGAGAGTCCTGTTCACCAGGACATAATCCAAGGAGGGCAGAGGATATGGGGATGTGTGTTTGAACGACAGAGAACATACAGGCAAGTAGCAACTGGCTTAGCACTCTGGAGAAGCTCCATCCTAAAGGAGGAACGGCCAGAGGCAACATTTCAACCATACAGGTTCTTCTAGAAGAGGAGGCAAAGGTAGGGCAGGATGGCTGAAGCAAATTCCATTAAAAATCAGTTGCCTCTCTCTTTCTTTCTCCCATCCTCCATGGTGGTGAGGGATGGGACAGGAAGCCAACTCCACTAAACATTCGGACAATTTCCTCATCAAGAACAGTTAACACCAAAGCTGTCAATGTGGAGACTCAAAGACTTCTACCCAGCTCTCCCACTGGTTCTGTTTTCTCACAGAAACCTAACATTCCTGTGTAGCGAGGGGGGTTAGGGTGGGGAGGTGTCAGTGCTAGGAACTGAACACAGAGCCCTACACAAGTGCCCTGAGCTGTGTCCACAGCCCGCCTCCAGCTCCTCTCTTTCTTTTTCTCTTTTTAAAGGAGGGAAAAAAAATGTAAAGTTCATATTCTGGTTGAAGTATTTCAAAATAGCTGGAGTCAAGGATAATAAGGACCTAAAAATACCAATATCAAGGTTCCCTAAAAACAAACAGCCCAGCCAAGTCACTGTAGAGGAAGCCTGGAATTGCAGGAGGAATTTGCAAAAGTTTCCTAGATAAAAGCAGAGTGGTGGTGGTGGGGGGGGAGGATTAATACATCTTCAGACTGATCATCTGAGACAAATGCATCCATGATATAACAAAAGACATTACACCAAAAAGAGAAGCACTGGAGGACAAAAGGAAGGAAGGAAGGAAGGAAGGAAGGAAGGAAGGAAGGAAGGAAGGAAGGAAAGGAAAGGAACCTCAATTGTAGCAGAAATTAAAAATTCTCCGAAGGCTTGAGAGATCCAATTCACAGAATGTTCAAATTAAGTTGACCAAGAGATCCAAGAGTAATTGTGCCAAGTGTGGGGGCTAGGATCAGACCAGAGAAACTAGAAAGAAAAAACAAAACAAAACAAAACATAAAAAAAAACAGGCATATAGAACTTTTTTTTTTCTAGAATCAAAGGCTATTTTGCTCCCAGAACTAAACTTTCTCCTAGAAAGGAAAGTCAAGGCTTGGTGGTGCACACCTTTAATCCCAGCACTTGAGAGGCAGGCAGATCTCTGAGAGTTCAAGGTCATCATAGTCTTCATCAATGGTTGTCAACCTATGGGCTGTGACCCCCTCGGGAGTTGAATATCAAACATCTTGCATATCAGATATTTACATTACAATTCATAATAGGAGAAAAATTAGTTGTGAAGTAGCAATGAAAAGAATTTTATGGTGGGGAGGTCACAACATGAAGAACTTGTATTAAAGGGTGGCAGCCTTAGGAAGGTTGAGAACCACTGCTCTACACAGTGAGTTCCAGATCAGCCAAGGACAACATTTAAGAAAATGAGCCAGGCAGTGGTGGCGCATGCCTTTAATCCCAGCAATCAGTAGGCAGAGGCAGGAGGATCTCTGTGAGTTCAAGGCCAGCCTGGTCTACCCATCGAGTGCCAGGATGGGCTTTAAAGCTACACAGAGAAACCCTGTCTTGAAAAAGAAAAAAAGGAAGGAGAGGGGAGAGCTCGCAAGAATGGAAGGATCTGCTAGATCTAATTCCCCATGTATTAATAAAATTTTCTAAGTTAGGATTCAAAAAAGAAAAGCCCACAAAATTCTGGAGGGAAGGTTTTCACACAAAAGATTCGATATCGGGATCTGATGTATGCAACTTTCCAAGAAATAGCCCAAGAAACAGGAATGAAGAAGGTGTCAAAACTCTGAAAACTGATGGCTTCCACCCTGAACGTCCATACTTAGCTAAGCCATTACCTAAGACCCAGGAAGATGAGGGCATTTTCAGACATGTGTCTCTCATCTCTGGAATCTCCATTTTCCTCTGAGGCACTGGAAATGTGTTCAGGAAATGCTAGACCAACCATGAAGACAACACATAGCAAGACAGAGCCTAAAGGAGTTGGTGGGATGGTGCTAACTGGGAACCATTCTCTGCCAGAGGAGCAGAAAGTTTCTGAGTCTTTTCTTCTAATGATGACCCTGACAGATTCCCTGTGGGGCTAGCTATACTCAAAGGAGATTTATAAGTGTAAAGAATTTGAGGTTGAATTATTCATAACTATATCAAAAATTAAGGATAAAAAATTCAATATTGATCATGTAATCTAATCTTGAGAGAAAACATAAACCAAACTATATTAAATGTCTCATCTGTGGAGAAGATTCCACAGTTGCAATAAAGTAAACACTGAATATTGATTTCACCCAAATTACAGTACAATTACAATATGATTACAATTGGCAAAATGAGAACAGAGAAACAAGGGGCAAGGAGATATGAAAGCAAACTAAATACTGGCACTGAAGGAGAATGACTAAAACTGAAAAATGGATGAATTACGATTTTAGTATATCGATTAGAACTATACTGCAGGGAGATGACTATAAGAAACAGACCAAGTTGAAAACACTGGTCTCTAGGGAACAGCGAATAGGAGATAGTGCCACTTTCACAACAAACCTTAGGAATTATTTAATTTACCAATTGTGCAAGCATAAGGCTAACTTTGTAAATATTCTTCTTTTCTTTTCTTTTTTTTTTCTGTTTCTCTTCTTAAAAGGGAGACACCAAAGAGACTGATTAGCAGTTAAGAGTACTTACTCTTCTTGCAGAGGACCCATTAGGATTTTCAGCATGGTGGTTCACAATACCTCTAATTCTAGTTCCAGGAATATCTGATGCCCTTTGACCTCTATGGGTTCACACACACACATGGTACACAAACTCATGCAGGCATGCGCGCGCATACACACACACACACACACACACACACACACACACACACACACACACACGAAATAATAAACAGACAAATGGGTTTTTACAAAAAGAAAGAGGTAGACATACAGTTCAGTGGCGGAACATTTGACTAACAGACATACACCCTAGGGTCAATCACTAAGAAAAAGAAAAAAAAAGAGTCCACACTCTTGTCAAACATCTCATGATATCCAGCACCTACAATATGTGCATGCAAAAGATGCATCAATGCACAAATCATCAGATGTTGTTGGGGGAGCTTTAGTTCTGCAATCAAAGCCTGGCGTAAGTACTTCTTTTCTGGGGTGGGGGTTCGAGACAGGGTTTCTCTGTGGCTTTGGAGCCTATCCTGGAACTAGCTCTTGTAGACCAGGCTGGTCTCGAACTCACAGAGACCCACCTGCCTCTGCCTCCCGGAGTGCTGGGATTAAAGGTGTGCGCCACCAATGCCCAGTCATATGTACTTCTAAAGTAACTTACACTGCTAGTGATAAGAAGGAAATAAACAGGTTGCGGTGACAGATAATACTACAGGCAACTGTTTGGGGCAAGCAGTGAGAGGAGAGTCCCTGTGGAATGACATCTGAGACCTGAAAAAGGATAGGACAGATGTTAACTGCAAAAGGAAAGCTTTGGGGGAAGAGGGAAGGCTGATGGCATGGCAGCAGAAAAGGTGTGCAGTAAGACAATGCCTTGTCATCGACCACCGAGACTAAAAGAAAACAAAAGAGAAAGAGTGTATCCTCATGTCAGACATCTCATGATATCCAGTCAATGTGACCCCACAGGAAGACAGAGATGAAGGGCTCAGCAACCAATTGAGATGGAGAAAGACTCCAGATGGAACCCAATGAAACGCACACTGCCACGCAAGCAATGGCAGGGGACAGCAGCATCATAGAGCTCTCTGATGCAAAAGTGGGAGTCACACACCAGTCAGTAGACCTCTGCTGAGGGCAGGTGACAGGCTGACCCAAGTGGAGACAGAGGAGACAAACACAAGATCATTTTGGAAGGAGGACTCAAGTACTAGAGGGAATAAAGACAACAAAAGAGAAACCAAGGCTGGTTCCCAGTACATGTAGATAACATTTCAACTCTGGAAATAGGGAGAGGGTAACACCATCCATAGATGGGGAAGGTACCAGAAGAAGAGGTGGGATGGAGTAGATGAGATACGAAGCAAATCTAGACTTCATCCTTGGAGAACAGGCAGATAGAGTGTTTGAAACTCAAAATTAAAAGTGTTGTAACGGAAGCCCTTGGGGTACATAAGAGTATGTGGAGAAAGGAAGCCCAAACCACACCAGAAAAAAAAGTCAACTTTCTGAAATCCTACAGCCAAGGAAATACTAATAGAGGATCAAAGAATGGATACAGGAGCTGGGAAAACAAGTTGGGAAGTAGTTCCAAGAAGGAAGTGAGCTGTGCACAGAATTCTGATGAAGTAGCATCCCGGAGCTAGGGAAACAGTGCATTTTAGGAAGGTGACATACCAGATAAGCCTGAACTCCACACAAATACCTGTGTGACTCACTGTGCAGGAACGAGCTCCATCACCATATTCCTCATCTAGATGTGTGTTCAGATGACCGAAAGGTTCAGAATAGCGATCCTCAGCTCAGTTAGAATAAGGATGTCTCATCCGGCCCAGCTTAGTAAGAGGTCTCCAGGAAGCAACCAGGAAACCCTGTGACCCACCTGGGAACGCCAGAGGGCTGATGGGCTCCCCAAACAGGAAGTGACAATGTCCTGGCAGAGAAACCAGATCTGTGGTGTAGAACAGAATCATTTTATAGGGCTACTATGTTTTTCTAACCAGGGCCTGTGGTTAGAAAATAATGCAATGAAGCTATAATGTCTCATTTGACCGATGCAGAAACTAACACAGAAGGATTAAGTGACTTGCCCATAGTCACACACCATGGAGACTGGATTCTCAAATTCAGGATGTCAGTGATGAAGCACAAATCACTCACCATTTTGCTCATCTGGTTCTTCCAAATCAAATGTATCTGAGAATCAGATCACAGATTCCTAAGCTATGACTTTAGACCACAGGCAGCCATTAGCGTTACCTTCTTAAGATTATGTAACTGGTAAAGAGTGAACACGCTCACATAAGGGTCTTGCTGTACACATACATCATGTGCAGATCACCTCAGTCGGGTTCATTACCATACACACCACCACGCTGCTGAGTATTGGTCCTTAGAACACACTCCCTTGAACTTAAGTACTGTTGATCAGCCCCTGCTCATTTTCCCTACTCCAGCCCGGACAATCGACAACCACTGTTCACTCTCGGCTTCAATGAATTTGACATTTTCAGATTCCACAAATAAGCAGCATTTGGCTTTTTTTTTTTTTTTTTTGGCCTTATTTTACTTAAGACAGTGTCCTCTAGAGTCATGTACGGAATCACAAATGGCACAATTCCTTCGTTTTACAGTTAATTAATGCTTATAGGTGTGTACATACATACACACACATACATACCATTTCTTTATCCATTTATCACCAATAGACATCAATATTTGGGCTACTGTGACTAATGCTTCAATGGCTACAGAGACACCAATATTGATTTCATTTCCTCTGGGCACATAATAGAAACCAGACTGTCTGAAAGTGCAGAAGTTCTACTTTTAACGTTTTCATGAACCATAACATGAAACAGCTCGATAATTTATATTGCTATTGACATGTACATTGGCTCCCTTTTCTCCACACTTCACAGACAATCGTCATCTCATTAACATACTAATGCTTAATAGAAAATCCAAGAAGCTAACGCAGAGGTTCTCAACCTTCCTAACTCTGTGACCCTTTAATACAGTTCCTCATGTTGTGATGACCATCAACCATAAAATAATTTCATTGCTATTTCATAACTGTGATTTTTCTGTTATGAACCATAATGTAACTATCTGTGTTTTCTGATGGTATTAGGCAACTCCTGTGAAAGGGCCACGTGATGCCCCCAGAGGGGTCTCGACCCATAGGTTGAGAAACACTGAGCTAAAGCAAGCACTCATCTACCAGGATAGTAAATTCTCACAGTTAATAAGTAGTTTTATTTGGAGACCTCAACACCAGGCCAAAGACACAGGACTTTGAAATCTTAAAGACTTGGGTTTAAATTCCAGCTTTGTTCCCTCGTGAACAGGAAAGAGAGAGAGAGAGAGGAAAGAGAGAGAGAGAGAGAGAGTGTGTGTGTGTGTGTGTGTGTGTATGTATGTATGTATGTATGTATGTATGTTAGACCAGGCAACCTGAGTCCTAAATTGCAGGGCAAATACAGATGGTCAATAGTGTGATCTAGATGGGAACATTGTGCCTTATAGGTTTAATACATATTTTAACACAAATACAGGTTTAATTTCTCTCTTCCTTTTTATTTCTAGAAAATACCGCCATATCTCTGAAGTTCGAACTGCAAAAGTTAGTTACTCACCAATAGGCTTTTACTGGTCTGTTAAATTCTTCATCCAAAATGTAAAACAAACAAACAAAAAAATCTGACAGAAATTGTTTTTGAGATTATTTTTTTATTTTAAAAGTAATGAAAACTGCACTTTTTACAATATAGTAAAATTACCCAATATGAAGATGTTTTACAGTTTGGAACTAGGTGTGGTGGCCCACACTTGTGATCTAGTCCTGAGATGGTGGAGACAGGAAAATCAGGAGCTTAGGGACATGGTGAATTCAAGGCCAGCCTGCAACAGGAGAACCTGTCTCAGAACACAGGCAAACAGAAACACTTTGTGTTTATCTCCAATTAAATCTGTTTTCTTTCCGATAACACTTTTAGGAGTGTTTGGTTTTGGTCATACTTTTTGTTTTGTTTTTGCTTTTTGTTTTCAAGACAGGGTTTCTCTGTGGCTTTGGAGGCTGTCCAGGAACCAGCTCTTGTAGACCAGGCTGGTCTTGAACTCACAGAGATGCATCTGCCTCTGCCTCCCAAGTGCTGGGTGGGATTAAAGGCATGAGCCACCACTGCCTGGCGAGTGTTTGTTTTTGGAAGCTTTCCCTGACTTTTGGTGGTTTCGCTTCCACACACCCGGGTTGTGACAGTCCCTGCTAACAATGAACCTGTGAAATGTCTTATGCAGATTTCAAAGTAGGTCTATGCACTTTGGCCACTGTTCTTCAACATCTTAACATCCTGGGATCTACCCCCAACACTGCCCAGTTTGCTGTGCTGGGTCCAAGAAAGTTCACCTCTGAATCTTCTACCCATGACAATCATTTCATGTTATCACATTAACACTGACCATCACAGCCACCTAAAGGCTACGGAGCCACAACCAGGAAACACGGGTACACCAGGCTGGCAAAGATTTCCCAGTAAAAACCATGGTTCTAAATATCTAGGATGATAGAGGAAAATGCTTTTTTTGTTGTTGTTAGTTAAGAAAACTTGCATATCCGAAGTCAAAGAACTTAATTTAGCTCTTTGGCCCGTGGCCTCTCAGAGTTACATATTCAGCCTGAACACAAAGATGACTTAAAGCACATTTCCATAACATACTATTTTCATCAGACAACTTTCTATCTACTGAGGGGTCACAGGCTCCCTTTCGTCATGTCAACACCCTGATGGCAGCAGGCTATTCAAAGCACCCTGAGCAACATGCCAGGTCACCAAAATCTTGTTTTCATTATACTGCCATTAACAGTCTTGCCAAACATTCCCCACCCTCCCCAATAGGATCCTGACCCATAATGCAGTAGGTCACAGGAAATAAACTTAGCTGTCAGAGCTAGTATACAGAATCAGATCATTTTTAGCAACGCATGTGGACTGACAGATTAACAAAAAGTTAGGAAGCTGCAATTCAACAAATGGTACCTAGGACTTAAACATATACCATCAAGTACACAGTAGACAACAACATTAGGGGCTGTTCTCCCGAACCGACCACGTGAGTGAGGGGAACCCTAAGTAAAAGTGCCATTCAAACACAACCGAGGGGATCTTACCCAGACCGGATGGTAGGAGAGAATGAGGAGCCAGAAAAGGCCTCCTGGAGTCAGGAACATCACCTGAAGGATGAGGAGGTATCAATAAATAAATAAACAAACATAAGGACTGGCATTGGGCAACAGAAAGCCCAGAAGAGGTGTCAGACCTGAGTTCCAGGCCTGCCTCTGGAACAAAGGTCTGACCTTGACCAAGCCACTCCACTTTCCTGGATCTCACTTTTCCTTATGGTTAGGTCAGTTAGTCAGTCAGTTGGCCACACTCTTGCTGCACACAAGAATTGCCTGGGGGCTTTTCAGAAACGCAGTCTTATTGGGTGAGCATCAGGATTTCCTCAAAACCTCCAGGTACCGCCAGTGTGTGGCCAGGTCTAAGAAGTGACCTCTCAAATCCTAGGTGCCTTGACCTAGGGATATAGTAATCCCCCTGGGTAGCTTCTTAAAACCCCAGTGGAGACTGCATCCCAGACAATTAAACCAGCACCTTGGGGTTGGCGATCAGGTCCCAGACATCTGAAAATTCACAAGCTGGTACCAAGCTGTACCCAAGGTTGACACCCACTGTTCTAGACCTGTGCCTTGGTTTCCTATATGGACAATGATGGATGGGAGAAGGAAGGGAAGAGAAGCTGGTCTTTCTCCCTTTCCCTTGTTCTCCTGTTAAATTAAAAAGAGAACAACACCAGAGACCGCCAGTGAGTTTGAAATGGGTTTGCACACAGTAGCTGATTTCAGGTGTGTGTGTCCTTCATGTCAGTGCCTGACAGGTAGGAAAGTTCCAAACTGCTTTTGTTCTAAATTGAAAATCTGATGGCATGCTTCTCTAACAATGACTCCACAGTGTGTGCTCTGTAATCCTTGGGTAGAACCTGATTTGCATGATTGCCTGTAACATGAGCACTGCACTCCTAATTCCTGAGGTTACTTGCATCCACTTATTAGGCACTGGTAAACCAAACAAACAGTAATTAGAAACCCTGCAGACAACCTTTAAGTCTGTTGCTGAATTACACATTTCCTGTACCCAGGCCTGTACATACAACATGTCCACAGCACCACAAAATCAGAGCCCCAGAAGTACCAGTGCTATCAGGGAGACACACGCCACCTCGGGATCTCCTCAGGTCTGCAAAGGGAGCCAAAGGCTGCTTTAGAAGAGGACTATTCTCTTACAGTCCTTCTCACAGTCGGGTACATGACACTGACTGTGTGTGTTTTAGAAGTCCCCAGGTGAAAATGAACTCTCCAGGGCACTGGCAATGAGGAACACCTCTAAGAGACAGCCTCTTTTCCAGAAACAAAAAGAGCATCTGCACCCTGGCACAGCTTATAAAATAATGGCAGGTGACACCTAAGGCTAAGGTTAGGGTAGGAAACCCTACAACAAGCAGAGTTCTGCTCTACCCTCAGCATAGGAAACCCTGCACCAAGCAGAGGACTGCTCCACCCTAAGCATCCAAGCCACATCGGTTGGGTTACAGGATCTGCTAACCCCAGGAGGCTGGCCATTCTGGCCTGCATGGGGATCTTGGTAAGTGCTAAGACTGCTCACATTCCAGAACAAAGCTGGCTCCTGGCCACCTTGCCAGAGGCTGGGGCAGGCAGAAAGGAGTCACACACAGGCAATATCCATTAAGAAAGTCTGTTTGACTTAACTGCAAGTGGGCCCTCCTGCTAGTGACTCAGACAGACCCCTATTCCTAGGTAGGGCTGAGGGTTGAGAGATCTCAGTGGCCAAGGAAAACCCCTCCCTGCTTAGTGTGGGCCACTTCCAAGAGGCTGAGGAAAACCCCTCCCTGCATA